ATACAACAGCAATTAACATGACAATTTTATATACTACTTCAGCCAGGGATTTATCTTCCTTTCCAAAACATTCAATTTTCAGTATTACCATATCTCAAAGATGTTAACTCACTACATGTGCACAGAGATTTAAGAGATGTATAGCCCCAAAGATGAATACATATAATTCACATAACTACAGTGATTAGCCAGCATTCTTCCTCAATCAGTATTAACTCAACAAGATCCTACTGTGAGGAGAAGATGGGTTCTTGGGCCTCTTGCACTTTAAAGTGCTGCGTTCCCAGCTTTATGGAAGCCTGATAAGATCTCATTTGAGCCAAACTACTCCCACTCCCCACAAATAATACCAGAATAAAAAACTAAATGAAAGTGGCAGGACATGTCTGCTTTTATTATGCCGCAGGAAACTGATCATCAAGCTGCTGAAGGCTCTGACAAAATGCCTATTTTTAATCAACTGCGTGCCCATCTTGATGAAAGATCTCAAATGTTTCTGAAATGACTTGAACATTTCTTGCTCTGCACCCTTCCCTCTGCAATACCAACATTGCGTTTTAGCCTTTGCAGTAACTCAGCATGTCAAGGACAAAGCTTAAAGTAAGCTGAGACAGAGACCATACTCTGATTGAGCCATCAATTAGGAGGAAAATTGTGGCTTTCAAGATCTCAATATGTCAGCAGAGGGATTCACTGCTCCGACAAGTTGCTGGCATTGGCATTCTCAGGACATTTTGGGCTACATTTTGTTCTCATTTATGGAAGCAAAATTCCTGTTTAAATCAACTGGAGTTACTCCAGCATCTCTGAGGGCACCTATTTCCCTGGGTGTGAACATGAAATAAAATCCACTTGTCTCTTTAAATATGCAGGACTTTTTTTTTCTCTTTAAATATTGGCATCTGCACCCTGATAGATTTCTTAACCTTTAGTCTTTTTGCACAGTTGTGGTCACCCAAATATGTGACTGGTCTATGGTAAAACTGTGCCAGCTTTGTGACAGCTATAGATCTGTAGGATGTCAGAAGCTGTTCCCAAGGAAACATCAGGAAAAGGGATTATACAAGGTTTTGAAAACCTGCTCTGAAGGTCTGCTAACATGATCAAGAAAGCCCACCTTTTTCCATGAAAAATGAGAAATAGATATACATCATTACAGCAAAGTCTGAGATGATGAGAACAATAGGAGATAAAAAGTTACAAAGTTAAGTGATGAAGACAGAATTATAATTTTATCTTTTTTTTTTTTTAATAGAAAAATGACTCCTTTAGGAGATAGGATGCATTCAATTTTCCAAACTATAAATTCCCTTGAAAGGAATACTGTAAGCTTCTTTCTTCTTTTACTTACAAGCTGATGTTTATTCATGTGCATGGGGCTACCGCACAGACCTTTCACAGCATGATGAGTGTGCTGGCTGAAAGGTAGGAGAGAAGATGACTATCGCCGGAATTTTTAAAGCGGGATACTCAAGCCAGGCAGCTTACCCTATATTTAGCCTGCTAAATAAGCGGCCTGGTTTTTCTGAAGTGCTAAGTCAGAATCGTCAAGTCTCTCACAACAAGAGTGGGCCCCGCACGAGCGGCCTCCTCCTGGCGCTCCTTGGTGTTTACCACACGGCGCCACAGCTTCCCGCCTCTGTGTGAGCCCGGTCTATGTATCCATTGCCTTCCAACTCCACACAGCTGAGGTATGGGGCTGGGAAGGGGCCCACAGCGTTGCCTCCTCTGTGTGGGGAGCTACCTTCACTGGTGGGATCGTATTCCCCACAGCCTTGGGCTGCAACAATCCTGCCCCAGCCGCAGGACTACAACGTGGGCAGCCACCACCACCATGACACTGCCTGAAGCTCTGACCTGTGGAGCACAAACCTGGGCTTCTCAGGATACGCAGCACTTCTGAAAATCAGGACACTTACTTAGGAGACTAAATATGGATACACGGGCCTGGCTCTAAAAAAACTTGGCCCATTTAAGAGGAATGAACATGCACCGACACCTGGTAGCTCCCCAGCAGACAGGGCTGAAGAGCAGCTCTGGCTCTGCTCCACTGTCAATCAGTTCCTCCAAGACGGATGCTGCGCTCTGCCATGGCATTTCTAAGCTCCTTGCAAAAGAAATATGGGATGAGTTACAACCTGAACGATAACAGGATAACCCTTTCCCAGGGTGTTCTCTGAAAATCTCACTCAAATGCAACTGGGATCTAATTCCACAGCAAAACATGTACAACCATATCATCCTTCTTCTTTTACTGAAGAAGAAGAAGAAGAAGAAGAAAAAAAGATATTTCTGTATTTCAGAAGGAGCAGACTGGTGCAGGGACAACAGGGGCACACTGTTACTTCAGAGGTAAGTCAAAGGATCACCAGGTCCCAGTTTTATGCATCTCAGGGCTCCAGGTCAAACAGCTGAGTCCTCTTCCCATGCTTGGCAGCTATTGCAATACAGTCACCAAGCCATGCTGCAGCTTTTGGGTGCACCATTTCCTCACACAAACAGGAGGCAGAAGCTGTTGACTACACATTAATTCTTGTGAGAGTGCACTTGCTTTCCAGACAGGCACTACAGGAAAATCACTGCCATGCTGTCTAAACTGTTCCCTCACCTGACCTAGCAGAAATAGCACAAACCAGAGAAACTGAAGAAACGTATTTCCAGTTCACATAACTATAGACTATAGATCCTTCCACAACTCCACCTCTCCTCCTATGTTTTCTTATTTCTTCCACATCTTCCACTTGTTCACGCACTTGTTGAGTCCTGTTCTTCAGGGTGACCTCGGATGGTCGTCTATGGTGTGTCTGTACAGTGGCTACCTCCTCTGCACCCTGACACATGTCACCTGCTCCAGCTGAGCTTGGCGGGCCCAGGGGGCCCATTTGGCCCATAGCTGCTTCCACAGGGACCTGGAGAGGAGGGATCGTTGAGTTGCTGTACTCACTATACCCTGATTTTGCATTTCATTTCATTAGTGATACAGAGAACTGATGGAAAAGCCACCACAGCAAAAATCACAAACAACACTCCATGAAAGATCATGTCCCTCTGAAGAGAGACTTGTATTTTCTTCTCCAGAGGGAAGTTATGGGGAAGAAATACAGCTAAAGCGGATTTCCTTTGGGGGAAGGCAGCATGCACTGTAGCATGTAGACTGCTGCAGTATCTCTTACCAAGCTGGGTCTTGTGTGCAGCTTCACCTGACAGCAACAAATCAAACCACCACTTTATCTGAATTTTACATAATGGCATCACCAAAATAATAATAATAATAATCTTCTTTAAAAATCCCTTGTAAGAAGCAGCAAGGGGAAAAAAAATAAATAACTTGGTGACACATCTCTTGAATATTGTTGATTGACTAATTAAAATGCAATAGAGCAGAAAAAAAGTGCATAGACGATGCTAAGGATGTAATGTAAAGAGCAATCACAGCCACTCAGTGGGGCTTAGCAGGTCTAAAATGGTATCTAATTCTGCAAACTCCAGAAAGGTACTGCATAATGTAAACATTATTGCTCTGCACACTCTAATGAAAACTGCCTGCCTTTGGGTTGAATTGCATACGTATCTATTGTGCATCCGGTATAATAAAGAAAACATGCACTGTGCATTTAAAGATGTCACCTCTCTAAAGGAGGCTGAAGGAAGCCCCTTGTTACAGTAACTATGACACAAAAAAAGGAATAGGATGACAGTTGCTGTATTTATTATATTTCTAATGGAATAAACTTGCAAGTATCCAGACACAAACCGTATATTTCCTTTGATATCACAGCATGCACCTGCAACTTGTTATTGCAAGGACCTGTCTGTAGATTTACAAAACTCTATTTACTTGTCCAGTAATTTGGCATAGATGGGTCTGCAACCTGACAACTGTTCTTTCCAAGAACAGAGGCACATGCTTTCAGACACCGCTCTGCTGCAAACAAACATACATGTTTCACCTCTGCTTCGGCTAAAAAGTTCACAGATTTTTAGTGCTCAGATTTAATGCACTTTCAAGCACACGTCTTTGTATCACTGACCTGCCAGCTAGCTTCCCGTCGCAGCCCTTTTATCCAGTTTTCTTCTAAGTCCTTATTCTCTCTGGTGGGTGTTTCATCCATAGCTGATGTAGCCTGCACAAACTCGACTGGCCACTGGCTGTTACACTCTCTTTGCGAGCCTTTACCGAGGCAGCAGCAGCAAGTGCCGTTCAGAGACAGGCTGTCATGAAGAAAATGTCACAGCACAGGCTGGGGGAGCGGGGGGGAGAGCGGGGAGGGAGGGGTGCACATGAGGAATCCACATGTGGGAAGGTTTGGGAAGTGCGAGCGCCAGGCGACGTGCTCCAACGGCTCCTCCAGCGGATGCGCCGCCACAGCCAGCGAGTTGGGAGCGCGACGCAGGCGCTGGGCGGCAGCGGGAAGTAACTCTAATGAGATGCAGAGCGGGCCAGCACGGGCAGTGCTCCTGGAAGGACCGTCACACGCGTCTCCCGCAAGCGTTACTGCGCGGATCGCGCTCCTCGTCTCATTCGGTGTCGTTACAATTGAGGCTGCATCGGGGGTGTGGATTCCGGCAAAGGGAAAACAAATAGCTGCTGGGTCTGAGCAAAAGAAAATATCTCGGCGCGTGCGTTTGAAAAGCGCTTCGTGAAGCGCTCGGCAGCCAATATACATGAATAATAATACAGGCCATTTTGACAGCAAGGGGCTCATTCCCACAGCCGCTGCTGAGGGCGCAGCGCGGCACTGCAGAAGGGCTTCAGCAGGACACCAGCTTCAGCAGGACTCCTGCTCTGAGCAGGAACACCCGTCCCAGGCTGAGACGCGAGAGGCACCTGCCCGAGCCGCTCTTTGCCCAGCGCACCCAAGGGTGCCCGCCGCCTTAGCCGAGCACGCCACAACTCTCTGCACTGCCTGCTCCGTGGGTCCGTGACCCGGCACAGCTGCCTCAGCCTACGGAGGGGCACTCGAGTCCATCCCTTCGGCTCCCTCAAACACGCTGCTGTTTCCTTTGGAAAGACAGCCGCTGTTTGAGCCTAGAATTCATCACTGGCTGTCGGAGACCGCTGAGCTCGTTGCATTGAGGAAAATCAAGATTTCTGCCGCTTTCAGAACTGAAAACACTGTTTCCTACAAAGACCTGTGTTAATACAAAGAAAGATGGATTGATTTTTAAGCATGCTATTAAGTGAAAGAATTCTGTCATTTTATAAGTCAGAGTGTTGCAGCTTTAAGACTTGCAAGATTTGGGACTATTATGATGAGATTTTTTTTTAATCCCGTTAGCCATTAACACTGTTTATCTACTATTAATAGTGGCTAAGCAGATGGTGAAAATTTGGGATCATTTCTGGGTTCACTTTTGCTCCTGGGGATTTTCATTTCCTGACCCTCAGATGTTCTTCCAGGGCTGAAACTCTGCACAAGGCTGTTCAGCACAAACCGAAGCCGCCTCCTTTACACCTTTGCATAGATTCCCGGAAACATTTCCTTTTTTCTCAGGCTTCATACATATCTATCTACACAAATTTGGGGCCTTACACAGCTTGACAACATCTGTGCCATAAAACTGAATATGATAACCTGTTTGCAGCATAAGCTCCTGGCGCATCCCACCTGAAATGTAAGACACTATCCTTCAGTTTGAGAATTTGCCCTTCTTTCCTGTCTGTCCCCCCCCTTTTCCTTTTTCTTAAATACAGCTACGCTAATCAAGTGATCTCAGAATAGACGATTGGGTGGAAGTTTCGGGGCATTCGGTTTGACTTTAGAACTTGTGTTACATAAGGAGAGCAAGCATGAACAGCAGATTCTATTACACATATGGATATTTTATTTTTAGACCGAGAGAGCACAAGGTAAACCAATACAAACACAGGAAGGAGTCAGATGCTTGCGCAGACACAAAGAGACTATCACACTAGCAACAAAAGAGACACAGAGGAATTTTTGTTAAGAAAGGACTTACTAGAATTCTGTTTTCTTAACAAAATTCACTGCCACTTAAGACACAACAGGGGAACCACTTAAAGGAGCTCTCCATCCGCTGGCCCTGCACTAGTGGGGGACACCCAGCAGTGCCACCAATCCCAGCCAACAGCAGAGCATTCGAGCCATACTCGTCTGGTGACAAAAGGGCACTTGTAATGCCAATAGCAAATCATATCTCCCAGTGCCTGATGATAACAAACTGCAACAGCAGCCACAGCAAACCCTTGAGAGGAGATAAACTCTCTTTTAGGAGCACTGTCATTTGCAAGAGACGGCATCGAGGCAACAGCTGCTCTGATTTTGGAGGGGGACAATAAAAATTTTTAAGAAAAGGCAGCAGGATTTCTTTCCTCACTCTGCATATGGCACAGACAGATGCAAACCAACATACTGACATATTCTTAGTGGGCCAGAGGCGTAATTCTAAATCTAAGGCGGATGCGACACAGAAATTGCTGGGTGATAATTGTAAATATTAGCCATGCTTCAAATCTAAACTGCTCTGGATTGCAGTGAATTATTTCATGACTTTCAGTTGTCTTTTTCACTACCATGAAATAGCACCAATTGTGTATGAGCTGCAAGAATACCAAGACTTTTTTGATGGAAATCAAAGTACTTTTTTCACCCACGGTATCTTTGATATGTTAGAGCCTGAAGCAAAGAAAACATAATAAAAACAATATATAGATGAGAACTTCAATTTTCCCCCACATATGAATCTGTCACTTATTTGCTAAAAATCAAATCTAACTCCACACAGTTAAAGAAGCCCCATACATCATTCTCCATAATCCAGTACTCAGCTCAAATGTACCTCGCTTGAAGTTCATCCAGCACACTTGATTTTACACTACTCTAAACAAAACATCACTAGACATTACAGCTCTGAGTCTAAAACGCTTTAGCAGCAATTCCATCTCCAACGGTGAGAAAAGTACCAGTGTGTAAAAGGATCTTGCAATACAGAGCAACTAGAAGTCAGAAGTCCATCCTGAAGATTGGTTTTGATTGCAAACACAGACTAATTTTTTAAATTTATCACTGTGATATCTACATACTATTGCCAGCGGTGAGAAGAAACAAAATGAGAAAAATGCAAGTTGTTGTTGAATACTGAATGGTTACCTGGTCAGATCCTAATTCTACCAAACACTGAGGACATGAAAGGGAACCTGCTACCGGGCAGGGCCAGCCTTAGGCAGCTGTTAAATTAGGATGAGGTTGGCTTAGACACAGCACAGCATGGGCCCATCATGGTTTCATATATTTATCTGGGTTCTCTTAACTGTCCCACATATACCCACATTTTATTTCCTTCTCCCATAACCAAACTTTGTATTTTGATATCTGTTATCGGAGTATGATATGAATTAATGAACGAATCAATCAGACAATGGAGTGAATTAAACCCAGCTTGCATGCATAACGCTCCTGCCCGGCTCTACTTTTCTGCCACACGTGCCCATCTCAAGCTCATGATAATCTCAGTTTCTGAGTTTTATCATCAGAGGACAAAGGAGTGGATTAGCAAGCTTACTAGGAGATCCTTGGGATCTCCCACAGCACAACACCTCTACGCTACATGCATATTTGAACACCAGACTTTGGCATACAGATGCCTTCGGTACCAGAAACATGGCTGGCGCTTAATTCTTGGTGGCATAAGATTGTGTTCAAAAGGTCCCTCTAGTATTCCCACAAAAGACTGAAGAGTTTATAAATAAATGCATTTATAAATGCATTTAGTACAACCCAGGTCACAAAAGGCTATGGCATGAGAATACTTTTTTTTTTTTTTTTTTTTTTTTAAATACTTCATGGCTTTCAATTATACACCGGTTATGGACAACCTTAGATTGGCCCTGAACTAATCCAAGGTGCAACTATTCCATATCATACAAATTCCATATCATATATGAAAACTAATCACAAAATGTTTCTTATTTGTAAAACAGAATCTGTATCAATAGGCCAGAGAGAGAAAACCAGGAAAGTTGTCAGATTCCTATACTTAAAACTGTGTACCTGGTTATTTTCCAAGGAAGGGCAGAGTTGGAAGGCTAGTGGAGGTTTGCCAGGGCTGAGCTGAGATTTACAGTATAGACGATCATCAGGTGTAGCCACCAAGGTTAAGCGTAGCCTGCCATGTAGCTACAGACTCATTGGCTGCACCTACACCACTGAATCAAGAAGGTTAAAGCACAAAACACTCTGGTTATTGACACTGCTGGCCCTGGGAGACCTAGAGGCAACGTGAGTTGTATCCACAAGGCCAACATCAGACATCCTAACTATCTGCTGGTGACATTCACCTCAGCTGCTTTTGGGCACCTGAATTTGAGCTGCTGACATCCACCTGAGGCTCATCTAGCAAACAAGAGGGAAGGGCTGGCACTTCCAGAGGGCAACTCACCTGACTTCATCCTAGGTGCTCACCTTAGTCTGAAACAAATCATCCTGTGGAACAATATGTCTTTGCTGCCAATGGAAGGGACTGAGGGCGATGGCCCCAACTTAGACATCTGATTCCTCAGGGGCAAAGTCAGTGCAGAGGAATGCAGCTCTCCTAGCTGCATGCAACATCAGCATCTTCTGGACAGAGCCTATAGCCAGCCTGTCTTGCTAAATACTGTCCCCAGTCTGCAGTGCTACACTGACCCATCCATCATGCAGGTAGGAGGAGCTTCTCATAGGAACTCAGGAGGATTCAATCTTCTCCCATACATCAAAGAGCACAGAAAGACCTTCTCTGTACTGCCGGATTCTGGACACCAATACCATTTGGATAAAAGTCTCAAACCCAAACTTAAAATACATTTTGGAAGCTATCAGTGACTAAGTAGGTCTAATCCTGTTGACCTGAGCTCATAAAATTGCCTGATCGTTTCTGGATGCAGAGCTTAGGCTATTTGAGTCTTTGGAAAGACTTTGGAAAACGTTTGCTCAGAGTAGCACCCTCCTAAAGGAGTCCCTGCGTGTTACTGCAATTCTGCAGAACTAACTTTAGCATCTGGCAGGCTGACAGCGCAGCCCATCCACGCAGTGTAGACATACCTGCTCTCATATGTATTGCTGCATGTGCTGCTTATATTGATTACCTGTTGACAAGCTATAAATAAAGATGCCATCAGAGCACCACAATGTGTGACTTTCCAAAGGCTGAAGCAGAGTTATATTTTTCCTACCTTAACCTAAATGTCCTTTCAGGAGAGAAGGTTGCTCTGCCTTGTTAACTAGTCAAGGTGGACCTTGTTTCTCTGTCTTGCCTATCTTGCAACTTCTAAGCTCCTGACTACAAAAATTCCTCATTTGTTAGTGTCAGCCTGTCATCTCTTTGAAAGCAGAGCCACAAGATCTTAACAGAGTGGATATACACAGCTGTTATATTTATTAGTTAAGAAAAACAGCAAATGACAAGTGAATAAAGCACTCCTTGGGACGTCTGGACTACGGATTTTGTATAAATCAATATCAAGTGCTATAAAATGTCAGAAAATACCAAATGAGGAGAAAGGAATCAATAGATACCTTCTGAATTAAATGAGTGATGAATATTCTTTACCAACCAAAATAAATTAAACTACAAAAACTCTGTGTTAAAGCAATATCCAGCACCTTGCTTAAAGCCCCAAAGGGAGGCAATTCAAATTTAAGGCTGTGAGTTGAGTCCTTAAACACTGCCATTGAGGAAAGAGGAGAGCAGGGAGGAGGAGCAGGAAACAACTAAGCTGCTTTGACACAAGTTAAGAATGAAATATTGACTCAAAAATGTTCACCTTCATTCTTAGTCTCTTTGTTTTCCGGGCTTGAGTCAGAAAGGCAATGGTCACCTTTCTGCTGCACGTTCGTAGAGTGCCCTGAGCTTTGACTCGGACCCAGACAGCAATATAATGCAAACACCAACAAGAATGACTACGCAGTATACTAAAAGCCTTATCATGAGCTGAAGATGTATTCTTACACATTTTCCATATGCTAAAGATTGTTCTACCTAGTTTAGTTAGATGCCAGCATGGCGTAGTGCCCTGAATGGTCTAACAATGCTCATGTATTTTGTATTTTGCCTTTCTGCACTATGGGTAGTCCTCGATCCTTACCACCCGTGGCATGGTAATCATGGCATCTGATGCAAATACCACAGTGTAGTCAGGCTTTTAGAATAGAAAACTACTTCTGATCACACTCAAGTTTTGTAGAGCTGTAGATCCACCCTTAATGCAGCTTATCAATTAATCAAGGCAAGATTTCTGTTTTTAATAGGCTCTAACTTATAAAATTCTTCTGCAATACACAGCTGCCCATCGATTACTTCCTGTCACACATCCATTATCTGCGTTTTTAACAATGAGAGAAGTCCTTATAATCAACTGCAGCGGGACTGGGCTTGAATCATTACCTGTCCTAAAACCCAGCTTCTTTTCCACGTCCTTAAACTAGCATGAGAGTGAGGAAAGTTTCTGGGAGAAGTGCAGTGCCCACTGAAGCTCTCTCCAAATAACCTTAGATGTGCCCAGCAGGGATAACTGCATGCAAAGCCACAGGTTTGAGTCTTGTGGAAGCCCTGTGGAGTTCCCGAGAAGTCCCACGGATGCATGAGGATGCTGTGCCCTTCAGCCCAGCTGCACAGGGCTACCTGAAGGACCTGCCGAGTCAGACATACCACAAGCAGACCCGTCACAGAGCTAATAACTGAGATGAACAGTTAACACAAAGCTCTGTCTACTCAGGAAAAGGACTGTGTTATTATGTACAACCTAATGAAGACCTCTGCTTTAGGTCAAACAGGATGCAAAGATGCAGAAAGCCTGAAATAATATATAATGGAAATATGCTTATACATATATCTTCTGCTTAATGTTGAATACTGTATACACTGCTCTTCACTCCCCTTTGGAGAAGTAGGTCAAAGAAGGGCAGTGAAAATAGAACACAGAAAATCCCTCCTATGAAAAGTGACAGAAAAAAAAGGGGATTTTTTTTTTGTTTAAGGAAGAAAATGATTAGTGCAAGACATGATACAATTTTCTGAAAACCACAGTGGGTCCATTCTTTCTGATTCTCAAAACAAAAAGGAAAGGACGTTCAATGAAAGCCAAAGGTGGCAGATTCAAACCACGAAAATCAAATGCTTTTTGCAAAACATGTAATTAGAGAGTGGAACTCATTGCTGAAAGGAGTGCCTGAGGGAAAGAACGTATCAACTTTCCGAAAGTGTTTGCGCAGCTAGAATAGCGGGAAAGGCGAGCTCAGAGCAGCCGCCACGGACAGGAATTCACACTTTGCAGTGGCACCAGTTTGTGGGAGGCAGCTCTGTGCTCTGCACTGGGGGAGCACCCTGAAGCCCCCCAGCAGCCGCCCCACTGCCCTTCCCGGGAGCACCCGGTGCCAGCAGCTTTGGGAGGCCACACGCTGGTCCGGATGCACTGAAGAGCTGGGGCAGCACGGCACTGCCTGCGTCCCTACAAACCATCTCGGGACCCTACTGTTGTGCCCACGCAGGCAGGTACCAATCTGATTAGATTGGAGTTATATGGAGGAAAAAACAGCAGCTCGGTGGCAGGGCGTTCTCGGCACTCGGAATGGCTGCCGTTTCGTTGCCTTCCAAATCCTCAGCACATACCGGGCGCAAGGTAAAGAGCACAAATGAATTTTACTTCCTCATTTGCGCTCTTTTCACCTAAACAAAGACTCCATTAATCCTCCGTTATCAGCCACATCTTTGCAGGCAAGGCAGATCCTGAATTCTTGGGTACTGCCCAAAGAAGCTGAAAACCAGCCCTAGCCACTGCCTCTGGATCAGGCTTCCTGCTTTGACAGGACTTGAAGGAATTCTGTTAGGAGCAGCAGAGTTTAAGGGATCAAATCTCCCACAGCAGAACCAGAAAGTGCCATGTTCTGCTTGCGAAGATGCAGAATCACACGCACTGGAGAGGAACGCGTCGTCACTCACACTGCGACGGGCTCCAGGAGTTTAACCTTCCTTCACGTGCACAGGTTGGATCAAGCTGAAGAAGCTGCCTCGTTTCTCAGCAAACCAGAGCTGGTTCGGGGAATACAAACGAGGATGCTAGTGCCCGTTGCCCCATCAGGAATGCTCACGGGTACTTCCTGTCCAACTCCAGCAGAGCACGTTTGTCACAAAGATTTAGGAGAGGCTAAACAAGGCAAGAAGAGTCCGCTTCCCACCCCTAGCGCTGAGATAGGCTTAATCTCAGCCTGCCCTTTGCTGAACTCTCTCAGGAGATTTGCACTGCCACTGGTACCATTTCTGGGCAACACTAATACTTCCCACCAAGATTATAGTGAGCTCCATGCACTTGCTCTTGCTAATCCCTTGTGACATCTATTCCAGGGCTGCACATAAACTAGCCCAAATCCCTGGCTGAAGCCTCCTTCCTTCACGAGCACCTTGGGGTGGGCTTTTGAGGACGATTCCCAGCAGCTGGGACGAGAGATCCGTTTCATTAGAGCTCCCTGTTGTGTGCTCCCACACAAAGCCTCTCCCCGCGACAGGAAGGGGACCTTTGGAGTCCCTGGAGCTGCCTCCTGCTCCAGACAGCGTCTCGAGCCGCACAGTCTGCCAGCATTTCTGCTTCGGCTTCCCTGCCTGCCTCCAACCACGCAGGGTCTTTATGAAAGTAATACATCCCCACCTAATCTGCAACTAAATTAATGTCAGAAGTAAGACAGTGCCCCAGGTGATCAATAAGAGGGTTTTTCCCTATAGAAATATTAGAAGCAACTCACATCAATAAGCCTCAAATTTATGGGGCAATTCAGCTCTTCCATTTACAGCTTGAATAACTGGCCTTTGTATAGGATATTACATTACTAAATAACATGTGCTAAAGGAAGCTTCACTACTGCAGTCCCTGACCTGGGTTAGCAGCCACAGTTTCCAGGCCAGTCAGCAGCTGCGGCAATGGCTCCGAGATCTCCGTTTCACCTAAGCTGCTGTCAACATCAGCACCTCCTTCCTTCCGAGGCCAGGCAGGTAAATGTGCTGTATTCAGGCCCCGCTTCAGGACTTAAATGAAGATTGCTGATGCTGGGACCTCCGGAAGACAAATGAATGACACCGGCTTTGGTCTTAAAATTATGCGTTGGAAAGAACAGTTTGCTGAATATCCTTGGTCTTCTCAAGTGAGTCGTATGAAACTAGGGTACAGAAAGAATGATGTGTTTACAGAGAGAGCAATCCATCAGCAGCAGAGCGATGGATTAGATGGACTAGTAATTCCATTTTCATTTTTAATTGTTATGATTCCTTGCAGATTAGAAAAC